ATTAAAGTGTTTTGTTAAAGAAATTGACACAAAAGTATGATGACAGACATTTTATAACATATTTTTATTCAAAAGTATACCTACTTTCAAATAAAACCTCTGACAGATGTGAGCTAGTTTAAAGTTCACAGCATTTGTAAAACAATTCAATCAAGAAACTTTACAAAAACGGATTTTTACATAGTATGTGAGTTTGTATTAGTATTTATGACGATTTACAACAACGAAAGTCTTTTCAGGTTAACTTATTTACAGGTATGAGTTATATTAAAGTATTTTGTTAACGAAATTGACACAAAAGTATTTTGACACACTTTTCATATCATATTTTATGCAAAAGTGTACATATTTTAAAATAAAACCTTTAACAGATGTGAAAAAGTTTAAAATTCTCAGCATTTGTAGAACCATTGTAATCAGAAAACGTCAGAAAACAGACTTTTACATAGTATGTGACAGTTTGTTTTATTATTTATTCAGATTTACACCAACGGAAGTCTTTTCAAGTTAAATTTTTAACAGGAATGAGTTAAATTAAAGTGTTTTGTTAAAGAAATTGACACAAAAGTATGATGACAGACATTTTATAACATATTTTTATTCAAAAGTATACCTACTTTCAAATAAAACCTCTGACAGATGTGAGCTAGTTTAAAGTTCACAGCATTTGTAAAACAATTCAATCAAGAAACTTTACAAAAACGGATTTTTACATAGTATGTGAGTTTGTATTAGTATTTATGACGATTTACAACAACGAAAGTCTTTTCAGGTTAACTTATTTACAGGTATGAGTTATATTAAAGTATTTTGTTAACGAAATTGACACAAAAGTATTTTGACACACTTTTCATATCATATTTTATGCAAAAGTGTACATATTTTAAAATAAAACCTTTAACAGATGTGAAAAAGTTTAAAATTCTCAGCATTTGTAGAACCATTGTAATCAGAAAACGTCAGAAAACAGACTTTTACATAGTATGTGACAGTTTGTTTTATTATTTATTCAGATTTACACCAACGGAAGTCTTTTCAAGTTAAATTTTTAACAGGAATGAGTTAAATTAAAGTGTTTTGTTAAAGAAATTGACACAAAAGTATGATGACAGACATTTTATAACATATTTTTATTCAAAAGTATACCTACTTTCAAATAAAACCTCTGACAGATGTGAGCTAGTTTAAAGTTCACAGCATTTGTAAAACAATTCAATCAAGAAACTTTACAAAAACGGATTTTTACATAGTATGTGAGTTTGTATTAGTATTTATGACGATTTACAACAACGAAAGTCTTTTCAGGTTAACTTATTTACAGGTATGAGTTATATTAAAGTATTTTGTTAACGAAATTGACACAAAAGTATTTTGACACACTTTTCATATCATATTTTATGCAAAAGTGTACATATTTTAAAATAAAACCTTTAACAGATGTGAAAAAGTTTAAAATTCTCAGCATTTGTAGAACCATTGTAATCAGAAAACGTCAGAAAACAGACTTTTACATAGTATGTGACAGTTTGTTTTATTATTTATTCAGATTTACACCAACGGAAGTCTTTTCAAGTTAAATTTTTAACAGGAATGAGTTAAATTAAAGTGTTTTGTTAAAGAAATTGACACAAAAGTATGATGACAGACATTTTATAACATATTTTTATTCAAAAGTATACCTACTTTCAAATAAAACCTCTGACAGATGTGAGCTAGTTTAAAGTTCACAGCATTTGTAAAACAATTCAATCAAGAAACTTTACAAAAACGGATTTTTACATAGTATGTGAGTTTGTATTAGTATTTATGACGATTTACAACAACGAAAGTCTTTTCAGGTTAACTTATTTACAGGTATGAGTTATATTAAAGTATTTTGTTAACGAAATTGACACAAAAGTATTTTGACACACTTTTCATATCATATTTTATGCAAAAGTGTACATATTTTAAAATAAAACCTTTAACAGATGTGAAAAAGTTTAAAATTCTCAGCATTTGTAGAACCATTGTAATCAGAAAACGTCAGAAAACAGACTTTTACATAGTATGTGACAGTTTGTTTTATTATTTATTCAGATTTACACCAACGGAAGTCTTTTCAAGTTAAATTTTTAACAGGAATGAGTTAAATTAAAGTGTTTTGTTAAAGAAATTGACACAAAAGTATGATGACAGACATTTTATAACATATTTTTATTCAAAAGTATACCTACTTTCAAATAAAACCTCTGACAGATGTGAGCTAGTTTAAAGTTCACAGCATTTGTAAAACAATTCAATCAAGAAACTTTACAAAAACGGATTTTTACATAGTATGTGAGTTTTTATTAGCATTAATGACGATTTACAACAACGAAAGTCTTTTCAGGTTAACTTATTTACAGGTATGAGTTAAATTAAAGTATTTTGTTAACGAAATTGGTACAAAAGTATTTTGACACACTTTTCATATCATATTTTATGCAAAAGTGTACCTATTTTTAAATAAAACCTCTAACAGATGTGAAAAAGTTTAAATTCTCATCATTTGTAGATCATTTTAATCAGAAAACGTCATGAAAACAGGGTTTTACATAGTATGTGACAGTTTGTTTTAGTATTTATGAAGATTTACAACAACGAAAGTAAAAAAACACTCTAACAGACATAGTAAACGGTATTTGTATAACCATTTCAATCAGGAAACGTTACGAAAACAGATTTTTACATAGTATGTGACAGTTTGTGGGCGGCATGTAGCGCTGTCAGACAATCTTGATGGAGCGCAGATGGAATCATAACACGGTCTTTGTAGACTACTACACCATCCTCTGTGTAATGTGATCGCGGAACTGATAGTTCTCACGAAGCGGTTCAGACAGCACTTGGCGGAATTCTGTCATTCCATCTTCAATTATGTTGACTAAACTGGACATATTCTCATCAGTGGTAGTTGCAATGCGAACCCTGTCCCAGATGATGGACTGTAATGTATGGAAGGATGAAGTTGTAGCAAAGTGCACAGTGTCTTCGCTATCATTCTGGTATGTCCCTATGCATCGAATGCCAGCAAGGATGGTATGTCGAACGTCTGAGGGCGATGGTTATATAGTCTCAGATGATACATTCAGTGCCGCATGGGTAATGGCCATGGTAATCGTACAAATGTCGTCTTCTAGAATGTATCTATGGAGGATACGCGGGTCATACGGAATCTGTATCGAAGGTTTTTTTCCTTCATGTTTTGAAGTCGCGTGTTTGATATATCATCCATTGACCGGTCGCCGAATAACTTAAGGAGTGGTTTATGGTCAAATACGATAATGAGCTCCTCACATCCTAGAACGAAGTAACGAGCCTTGTCCAGGGCATCGGCGACAGCTAGGACTCCCCCTCCACTGGAGCATAACGATAGTCAGCACTAGTACTGTGGGTGAAGCGGCTACCAACAAGTGTTATTCTCCAACCTGTCGGGCAACAGAACGGCTCAGTCTTAGGGCAACTACAGTGTTTTTGAAAAAGCCAGAATCCTATCCCGACTTTAGACCAATCTGTGGCAAGGCATTTAGGTTTGGACTTGTCGAAGATCCGTACGCCCTCTTCTATCTCGCTCACAATCACTCGCTTCAATAGAAGGGCGTACCGTTCAGCCATGCTGAAAGCATATGAAACCTGGTTGATAAGCCCAAACCAGGATCGGATGTCGGTGATGATTCTCGGTTGCGTGAAATCTATGATTGGCTGAAGAAACTTTCTGCAAGGTCCTACGTTATCTGGAGTAATTTCAAAGCCTGCAAAGTCGACTGGTTCCTGTCCAAAGATGAACTTCTCATGATTGAGGGTTATGTCGTTCCTACCAAATATGTCCAACCAGTTGCATGTTTGGAAAAAGCTTCCCTCCAAACTGTTGGACCAGAGGAGTGCGTCATCAATGCACTTAGTTTTGTTTGTGACCTCTGCACAAATTTCATCAAACCGTCTAGAGTAGCCATCGCCCGACGCAATGTAACCCTGCGGTGCGGTGCAGTAACGTTATCTTCCTCAGGGGGCGATGAAGGTGGTGAGAGGGACACTATGATGGCCGTTCCATGCATCAAAATCAAACTTTGTTGTTCCGTGTGGCACCGCTGCGAAGGCTTTCGGTATCTCTGATTCCGTGTCCACCTACTTTTCCAGCTACGTGACAATGTCAACCACCTACACCTCGGGTACCACAACATTGCCCATCAGCCACTGCTACTCGGGGATCCACAGGCACCCGAAAAAGACCTGCTTGATATGTCTACCATATAAGTGCCAGAAAAATCCTCAATATAAAGACTATTTAGTCACTTAGTCTCCAGTATTTGACAGAACAGTTTAAACAACTTTAATTATGTAAATGTACTTTCTATTCAGTACTTGTTATAGTGACTTCAGTTTATATAGTTACTTCAGTAGATACATACCAAAGACTTGGAGGAGATGGAGAATAATATAGACATATGTAATACAACATGTGCTTTACTGTATTTCAGATTGTCCCATCATTTGTGACTTACAAATAAAGTGATCAAAATAGACGAGTTCTTATCTAATAACCGTATTCAAATAGACCATGAATCGAGATTAAAAAACATAACAAGATTACCGCAGGGCGGAACAATATACGCCCGTCGAATGCCATATAGTGTTATATACTTTCTTACCTTGCAAAATTCTTTTAAGGGAGACACAACATCATATGATGATTATAATGTATACCACGTTTCAAAGAGATCCGTTGAAAAATGTAGGAGGAGATTGCCGGACAAAAATCAAATCCTGAAATAAATAATGGGCAATAAATTTTGCCAGGAAACACAACAACATATCATGATCTTTTAGCCTACTAATATAAGTTACTAAGAAAAATCTGGCACCGTATTATGTGTCGTGCCATTTCCGTAATTGACTTCTATTTTATGAAAATACTACTGACCGTCATTTGAGCGTTTGAAAGAAACGAAACAGCATGCTAAGCGTTCTGGAAACCCTTACTTTGGATTCTGTATGATCGGTGGCCTATCTGGATCGGAATCTGTCACAAAAGTCGTCTGCGTGTAAGTATTCACACTGGTGTAGATAAAAAAAAGCATACCAACACAGGCTATTTAGTGTAACAGCCCTTCAGACCCGTATATATTCAAACCATATTTAGGAAAGTAACAACGGATAATAGGTCTACTGTACATAAAGTAGAGAAATCTGTCTCATCAGAGAATAACAACAACAAATNCTGCCCATTTCTGCCCGTTCCTGCCCGTTCCTGTAAATCGTCTAACTGCAACAAATAAGAGATGGTACAACGACGGGCCGCCCGATACACCAAAATACACTACCCGTATCACAGTCCGACGTCCGTCACAGAAATTATGAAAGACCTTGAATGGGAATCACTTGAGGAAAGGAGGAGAAACGCGAGACTAGGGCTCCTTTATAAGATCACGCTGTGAGACTTGAAGGATTCAAGTCCCACTTGGCCGCAAAGGAAATATATTCTGAACACTTGTTTTTAACTTAGCACATCGCACAACAAGTGGCAGAATAATCAACTGATTGATGGTGGTCACCAAGTGGTAGAAGTAGAAGACTAACATCATAACATGGGGTTACAGTTTAATACACCGATATCAGAAGTGTTACATTCACGTATCCCGATTGAAATAGTACGTGTGGCGCAGAATGCACAGTTTCGGAGAATAAAAACAGTGTATTAAGAATATTATGACCCTCTTACATCCGTCCACTGAATTACATAACATATCTTAAAAACTACATGTGAGTTGACATTGTTTTAGAAAGAAATAGCGCAAACTTGCAAAAGTCAGCATTTTAGTTTCGGTCAGGTATGTCTAGAGCTGGACCCATCAATCTACATGTGCCAGATTTTCCTGAGGTCGGCCTCGGTCCAGATCTGTGCCTGTCGTTTTCTTAACAGGTTCAACCGGTTCAACTGTTTCAACCGGATACAGGAATGTACCCTTATGATTTTAGTCTTACGTTTAGTTTCTAATGTAACAAACTTGCTTTTGTAGCGGAACTGGACTAGGTTGATCGTCGGCGACCAGATAGCTCAATTGGTACTAGAGCGTCCATCTAGAGTTTCCTCTCCTGTAACACTTTAATACCAACATGAATGTTATTACAAAATGTAAATTTAAAATAGATTTTTGTAACTATGAAATTAAAATACGAAGTAACTTTGTTTCCTAAAATTTGCAACATCAAAGTGTCTTTAATTTAGACATCAGTGTGGTGTAAACAATTTTCCTGAAACAACCTGAGCGTCAACTATTTCTGGCTTCTTTTGATAAGCATGTGTTATGTGAGGTGAGAGAAAAAGAGTTTATGGCCTAAAAGAAATATATATCTTCTGGCAGGTAATTTTCATATATAGAATGAGCTGCTACCTAAATGTCAGTGTATAATTATATGACTTAACGACTTCCCACCCTTCGTAATACACATGTTTTTCTTGTCGTATTTTCGTGTCGTCATTTCCGTATTGCGTATTGGGCATTCCATTAGCATCGTGTAAATTATAGTAACACTGGGTAAATAATAGTACACATGCTTGATGATGATATGTCAACACCAGATATCGAGACTTAACTTGGAAATGTGTAATCTCACGTACTTCAGAATTAAAGCTTATGATACAAAGACATTAAGTAACTCACAGGAAAACACTGACATACGATCAGACGACTTTAAGAAGGTCGCATATGAGTCGCATGGAATGCAGACTGATCTGTTTTGTTTACCGACATCACCAGTAGTTCACAGCTCTTGGTCGCTACGACTTTTGTTGTCGAGCGAGTTACGCTCTGTCAGATAAATCGGTTCACAAATGCAATTAAAATAATAATACTGTGAAAATAGTGGTTTGTAAAATATCAAGATCCCTATATAATGCAAGAGCATGTTTGTGCAGGTAATAACGGCATACCATGCGATAGCCTATGGTTACATATATATACCTGTTAATATACCATGCGTAAGTGGGCTATGGAATGATGTCCAAAGTGTACATGATTGAAAGTAATTTTGTTCCATAAAAGAACAGTAAATTGACAATAAAATATAGTAATTTAATTATTTCCGTGTTTTTGGTATAGTAAAGAAAATCAGTGTCATTGTATAAATTCTATCCCTCTGCAAAAAGTTCCGATTTTTTTCAAGTTAGACAACTCTCATCAGGATCAAAATTATTGTAAAATTTAAAATAAATGAATTATAAAGACTTTGTGTGTATTTGGTTCAATTTTTCACTCTTATTGTATTAAACTATGTGTCCTGTTTGCTTTTAGCTTGTATTTAGTCACTTTTATCCATACAATTTCAATAAAAAACGCTTTTTGTAACATGTTGTAGATATTTTATGATAAATAAAATATGTGTAGGGTTGATTAGCAAAGTTTCTTTTCATTATTTTATTGTTGTAATAGTTTTGAACAATGCCACATGCTCAAAAAATGTGAAAGTGTTGAATTTGACAAAAAATTAATTTTTCAGTATTTTTTACAAAAAAAATCCCCAGTTTATCTGAATGCTTGGATTTTTTGATTTTTTTTAAAACATCTCTACATAGAGACATGACCATTATGTGAAACTTTCATTGAATTCTGCTGGCTAACTGCGAAAGGGTGGAGCCTCCTTAATGTTATTTTCCAACAGGTTCCTCTAATGATTCTCTTCACTGGTGTTAGTGTTTTATAATTGTTCTGGTTGATATATGAATTGCCCTTTGTCAGTGTATATTACTTCCTATTCATTCCAAATCACAGTACAGAAGATTAAAAGGATCAACAAAAAGTTTCATTATCATGTCTATGCAGTAATGATGGTTCACTTAATTACATTACGTCAATATACATAAGCATCATAAGACAATGTATGATAAATCTTATTAAAACAACATTCTAATACTAAAATATGAACAAACCCAGTTGGAGGTCATGTTCAGGTGACCTTTCAGCTGACCAATCAAGTTATATCACTGTTAGCAAAATGGTGCCAGTGCTTTTATGGTCCTATGATGGTATGCATTAATATAAATTGATCTGTACATGTATATGTGTTTTTTTCAATTACCAAGAAAATTATTATAAAAAAAATACACAAAGAGGTATAAAGCACCTTTCGGATATGACCTTCTGTATTACAACTCACTATTTTACAGGGTTAAATCTTAATGTGGTTTTTATGGATGTAACCATTATATAGATTCAAATTTTCATTTAAGCGCCATTGTTGACCCGGTTATTTGAGAAGCTGTTAGGATGCCTCAGTGGTGACAAGAATGGTACTGATGACACAAGGCAGACTTTTATGTCTGTACTCCCTCCTCATCTTTCTGGGACTTGCCTGGTTTATCTCCACCTTTGGTAAGTCACATGTTGTAAAGCGAATGACAAAGAAAACTTACCTTGTATAACTGGAGAAATAAAGCATTGTTATTTCTAAAAGTTTTAGACAAAAATAATTGCTGTGGAAAGTAAATATTTCAATGTGATGGAACTGATATTAATTCTTTTGTTGTAAGGTTTTTCAATCACTCTCTGATAGAAAATGTTTTACAAGCATATGTGATATATATATATGTGTGAATAACTCGAATATTATATTCTAACATTTATTCTGAAATGAAGCATTTTTTTTTTTTACAAAATCATGTACTAACAGTCGCCAGTGTAAACAGTATATCTTTACAATGTAGTTAATGTTAAAACCCTTTCTTGAATAAAAGAAATGTTTTGTTTTGTTTAAATATGAAGTACTTTAAGTACCAGCTAGTCTTTGTATTTCCTGTTTACAGAGTATTTTTGTTCAAATGATGAATTGCTTGAGTTGAGGGAGAGGCAGCTAGATACATACAAACAGCAAGTGACAGAGAAGAACAGGGAGATAGAAAATATACAGAGTAAGCTACAGGATAATGAGGAGAAAGTACAGAGATTGTCTCATCTCATAAACATGAAAACCTGTAAGCCTGTGGCAGGGGACAACAGTGACCCATCCCTGCCTACCCTGTATCTCATCACACCCACATACACACGCCTGGAGCAGAAGGCAGACCTCACTCGGCTGTCACACACTCTTCTGCATGTGAGAAACCTTCACTGGATTGTTGTTGAAGATTCCGAGGTGAAAACAAGTCTGGTTACATCCTTTCTAGCGAACTGTGGAGTTCAGAACACACATTTAAATAGTTTGACACCTAAACAGGTCAAATTGAAATCTAGTGACCCACAGTGGCTAAAACCAAGAGGTGTATTACAGAGAAATGCTGGACTGACCTGGATCAGAACAGCCCTAAATCCAGCGAAGGACAAAGGAGTAGTGTACTTCGCTGATGATGATAACACTTACAGTCTGGAGCTCTTTGAGGAGGTAAGATTACACTTTATGATAACACTTACAGTCTGGAGCTCTTGGAGTAGGTAAGATTACACTTTATGATGACACTTACAGTCTGGAGCTCTTTGAGGAGGTAAGATTACACTTTATGATAACACTTACAGTCTGGAGCTCTTTGAGGAGGTAAGATTACACTTTATGATAACACTTACAGTCTGGAGATGTTTGAGGAGGTAAGATTACACTTTATGATGACACTTACAGTCTGGAGATGTTTGAGGAGGTAAGATTACACTTTACGATGACATATTTACAGTCTGGAGATGTTTGAGGAAGTAAGATTTCACTTTATGATGACAGTTACAGTCTGGAGATGTTTGAGGAAGTAAGATTACACTTAACGATGACATATTTACAGTCTGGAGATGTTTGAGGAGGTAAGATTTCACTTTATGATGACAGTTACAGTCTGGAGATGTTTGAGGAGGCAAGATTACACGGAGATGTTTGAGGAGGTAAGATTTCACTTTATGATGACAGTTACAGTCTGGAGATGTTTGAGGAAGTAAGATTACACGCAGATGTTTGAGGAGGTAAGATTACACTTTATGATGACACTTCCAGTCTGGAGATGTTTGAGGAGGTAAGATTACACTTTACTATGACACTTACAGTCTGGAGATGTTTGAGGAGGCAAGATTACACGGAGATGTTTGAGGAGGTAAGATTACACTTTATGATGACAGTTACAGTCTGGAGATTGTTTGTAGTCAGAATAATTGTGGGTAGATATTATGGAGTTTTCAGCAGAGTGACTCATGATTTCAAGCCTATCTCCCTGCTAGAAGCTAACAAGTATTGTAGTCAGAATAATTGTGGGTAGATATTATGGAGTTTTCAGCAGAGTGACTCACGATTTCAAGCCCATCTTCTTACTAGCAGCTAACAAGCTTGTAAATCTTAGGTAACTTGTAAGATCTCATACAGAACATATTTGTTTGATTTTTTTTTATTGAAGTGAATAAAGGCAAAGCTTAAAAAAATGATATTAAATGCATATCTATAAAGGTATCTATTTTTTAATGACAGATGCGTCAGACACAGAAGGTGTCAGTGTGGCCTGTAGGACTAGTAGGGGGCCTGCGATATGAGAGCCCTGTGGTACAGAGTGGAAGTGTAAGTACATCAGCACCTTCACATTTGTCTATAAGCCTTGACTGGCCAAACTGTTGATATGTCAAAGTGTGCTAGTATATTTAGCTATAAGTACATGTATCATTTCTGACATAGCAAGAATAGGATGTTGTTGGACTTGATTGCATAACTTTACGACAGATTTTCCTGGAAGTTACAATTTATGTTGTATGTTGATTATCACATTAGCACATTTTTCCAGTCATCTAAGACCCTCTGGTAAACAGGCCCAAGTTGCTAAAAGTTGGTCAACCAGGCCAGTGATTGGTGAAAAACTCAAATGGTTGCCAATAAGAAGCTAGGACATTCAGAGTGAAATATATCCACAAAATAGATACCATTTTATTTGTCTCAACTAAACTATAACAGTTAAATGATATTGTTGTATTCATATTTGAAAATTTTCCTTAACCACTGGTTAACTGTAATCAACCTTTGAGTAACCTGGGTCTGAAAGTCACCTTATATGTCCATTTCCTTTATTCAAACATCTCAAGTTACAATATGTCTTAAATTTGGCAGGTGATCTGTAATTCTGTACTACAAGATATTTTCTAAGGTTTATTGATAATTTTCGGTCAAAGAAAGTATCATGAGAATGTCTTTATTCTGACATGAGTTGCTTCCTCTTGCAGGTGGTAGGCTGGCATACCTTCTGGAAGCCTGAGAGAACATTCGCCCTAGATATGGCAGGGTTTGCAGTGAATCTGACCATCATATTCAGTCATTCCAATGCAGTGTTTTCCAACAATGTGCCAAGAGGTTACCTGGAGAACTCTTTATTACTAGACTTAGCTGTGAAACTCAAGGACTTGGAACCGAGAGCAGATGGTTGTACTAAGGTACTGTAGAGATCCTATACCTAGAACAAGTGGTTGTACTAAGGTACTGTGGAGTTCCTATACCTAGAATAGATGGTTATACTAAGGTCTGTAGAGATCCTATACCTAGAACAGGTGGTTGTACTAAGGTACTGTAGAGATCCTATACCTAGAACAGGTGGTTGTACTAAGGTACTGTAGAGATCCTATACCTAGAACAGATTATTGTACTAAGGTACTGTAGAGATCCTATACCTAGAACATATGGTTGTACTAAGGTACTGTAGAGATCCTATACATAGAACAGGTGGTTGTACTAAGGTACTGTAGAGATCCTATACATAGAAAAGGTGGTTGTACTAAGGTACTGTAGAGATCCTATCCCTAGAACAGGTGGTTGTACTAAGGTACTGTAGAGATCCTATACCTGGAACAGGTGGTTGTACTAAGGTACTGTAGAGATGCTATACCTAGAACAGATGGTTGTACTAAGGTACTGTAGAGATCCTTTACCTAGAATAGTTGGTTGTACTAAGGAACTGTAGAGATCCTATACCTAGAACAGGTGGTTGGACTAAGGTACTGTAGAGATCCTATACCTAGAACAGGAGGTTGTACTAAGGTACTGTAGAGATGCTATACCTAGAACAGGTGGTTGTACTAAGGTACCGTAGAGATCCTATACCTAGAACAGATGGTTGTATTTAGGTACTGTAGAGATCCTATACCTTGAACAGTTGGTTGTATTAAGGTACTGTAGAGATCCTATACCTAGAACAGGAGGTTGTACTAAGGTACTGTAGAGATCCTATACCTGGAACAGGAGGTTGTACTAAGGTACTGTAGAGATGCTATACCTAGAACAGGTGGTTGTACTAAGGTACTGCAGAGATCCTATACCTAGAACAGGTGGTTGTACTTAGGTACTGTAGAGATCCTTTACCTAGAACAGGTGAACTGTAGAGATCCTGTACCTAGAACAGGTGGTTGTACTTAGGTACTGTAGAGATCCTTTACCTAGAACAGGTGGTTGGACTAAGGTACTGTAGAGATCATATACCTAGAACTGATCGTTGTACTAAAGTACTGTAGAGATCCTATACCTAGAAAAGATGGTTTGACTAAGGTACTGTAGAGAACCTATACCTAGAACAGATGGTTGTACTAAGGTACTGTAGAGATCCTATACCTGGAACAGGTGGTTGTACTAAGGTACTGTAGAGATGCTATACCTAGAACAGGTGGTTGTACTAAGGTACTGCAGAGATCCTATACCTAGAACAGGTGGTTGTACTAAGGCACTGTAGAGATCCTATACCTGGAACAGGTGGTTGTACTAAGGGACTGTAGAGATCCTTTACCTAGAATAGTTGGTTGTACTAAGGAACTGTAGAGATCCTATACCTAGAACAGATGGTTTGACTAAGGTACTGTAGAGAACCTATACCTAGAACAGATGGTTGTACTAAGGAACTGTAGAGATCCTATACCTAGAACAGGTGGTTGGACTAAGGTACTGTAGAGATCCTTTACCTAGAACAGGTGAACTGTAGAGATCCTGTACCTAGAACAGGCGGTTGTACTAAGGTACTGTAGAGATCCTTTACCTAGAACAGGTGAACTGTAGAGATCCTGTACCTAGAACAGGCGGTTGTACTAAGGTACTGTAGAGATCCTTTACCTAGAACAGGGGGTTGTACTAAGGTACTGTAGAGTTCCTATACCTAGAACAGGTGGTTGTACTAAGGTTCTGTAGAGATCCTATACCTAGAACAGATGGTTGTACTAAGGTACTGTAGAGATCCTATACATAGAACAGGTGGTTGTACTAAGGTACTGTAGAGATCCTATATATAGAACAGGTGGTTGTACTAAGGTACCGTAGAGATCCTATACCTAGAACAGGTGGTTGTATTTAGGTATTGTAGAGATCCTATACCTAGAACAGGTGGTTGTATTTAGGTATTGTAGAGATCCTATACCTAGAACAGGTGGTTGTATTTAGGTATTGTAGAGATCCTATACCTAGAACAGGTGGTTGTATTTAGGTATTGTAGAGATCCTATACCTAGAACAGGTGGTTGTATTAAGGTACTGTAGAGATCCTATACCTAGAACAGGAGGTTGTACTAAGGTACTGTAGAGATGCTATACCTAGAACAGATGGTTGTACTAAGGTACTGTAGAGATCCTATACCTGGAACAGGAGGTTGTACTAAGGTACTGTAGAGATCCTATACCTGGAACAGGAGGTTGTACTAAGGTACTGTAGAGATGCTATACCTAGAACAGGTGGTTGTACTAAGGTACTGCAGAGATCCTATACCTAGAACAGGTGGTTGTACTAATGTACCGTAGAGATCCTATACCTAGAACAGATGGTTGTATTAAGGGACTGTAGAGATCCTATACCTAGAACAGGTGGTTGTACTTAGGTACTGTAGAGTTCCTATACCTAGAACAGGTGGTTGTACTAAGGGACTGTAGAGATCCTTTACCTAGAATAGTTGGTTGTACTAAGGAACTGTAGAGATCCTATACCTAGAACAGATGGTTGTACTAAGGTACTGTAGAGATCCTTTACCTAGAACAGGTGAACTGTAGAGATCCTGTACCTAGAACAGGTGGTTGTACTAAGGTACTGTAGAGATCCTATACCTGGAACAGGAGGTTGTACTAAGGTACTGTAGAGATCCTATACCTAGAGCAGGTGGTTGTACTAAGGTACTGTAGAGATCCTATACCTAGAACAGATGGTTGTACTTAGGTACTGTAGAGATCCTTTACCTAGAACAGGTGAACTGTAGAGATCCTGTACCTAGAACAGGCGGTTGTACTAAGGTACTGTAGAGATCCTTTACCTAGAACAGGTGGTTGGACTAAGGTACTGTAGAGATCCTATACCTAGAACTGATGGTTGTACTAAAGTACTGTAGAGATCCTATACCTAGAACAGGTGGTTGGACTAAGGTACTGTAGAGATCCTTTACCTAGAACAGGTGAACTGTAGAGATCCTGTACCTAGAACAGGCGGTTGTACTAAGGTACTGTAGAGATCCTTTACCTAGAACAGGGGGTTGTACTAAGGTACTGTAGAGATCCTATACCTAGAACATATAGTTGTACTAAGGTACTGTAGAGATCCTATACATAGAACAGGTGGTTGTACTAAGGTACTGTAGAGATGCTATACCTAGAACAGGTGGTTGTACTAAGGTACTGCAGAGATCCTATACCTAGAACAGGAGGTTGTACTAAGGTACTGTAGAGATCCTATACCTGGAACAGGAGGTTGTACTAAGGTACTGTAGAGATCCTATACCTGGAACAGGTGGTTGTACTAAGGTACTGTAGAGATCCTTTACCTAGAATAGTTGGTTGTACTAAGGAACTGTAGAGATCCTATACCTAGAACAGATGGTTGGACTAAGGTACTGTAGAGATCCTTTACCTAGAACAGGTGGTTGTACTAAGGTACTGTAGATATCCTATACCTAGAACAGGTGGTTGTACTAATGTACCGTAGAGATCCTATACCTAGAACAGATGGTTGTATTAAGGAACTGTAGAGATCCTATACCTAGAACAGGTGGTTGTACTAATGTACCGTAGAGATCCTATACCTAGAACAGATGGTTGTATTAAGGTACTGTAGAGATCCTATACCTAGAACAGGTGGTTGTACGAAGATACTGTAGAGATCCTATACCTAGAACAGGTGGTTGTATTAAGGTACTCTAGTGATCCTATACCTAGAACAGATGGTTGTACTACGGTATATTTTTGTAAACATATTTTCATTTGATGCTGTTTTCAGGTGCTTGTCTGGCATACCCGAACAGAGAAGACGAAGACAAAAAATGAAAAAATAACACCTAGTGATATCAACATAGAGGTTTGACATTCATGAAAACTGATTCTGTTATTTGTGGCATTTTATGATATTACAATATATGTTACTTCTTACATTATGACAACTGATGATGTTATTTGTAACAACTGGTGATGTTAACCATGACAACTGGTGATGTCATCTGTATACATGGCAACTGGTGATGTCATCTGTACACCTGGCAACTGGTGATGTTGACAATCCCATGACAGTGAATGTTGTTATCTGTGATAACGGGTGTTATTATACCTTCTGTTAAAATCTCGTAATCTGATTGGTTGAGATGTGAACATTTTCAATGTTACTTGCTCGTTTTACAAAGATAAAGAAGACAGGGTGACATTCCAAAAATTGTTACATGCGCCAAACATATGCGTGCATGGTTCGTCCGAGTGCCAGGGTGTTATCAAATCACATTCATGGTTGGTTCATTCGACAACTGTTGAGATGAAGTCTTGGTTTATGTCAAATCAACACAAGGACCTTTAAAAATGGTGAAGTGGTGAAACACCTAAACATGACACTTGGTATAATAAAATAAAAATCACATTCATGAGAGGGCAATATTGCATATTATCACCCCTCGGAAAGCAGTGTTGACCTCAGCTTCGCCTTGGTCAACAATGCTTCCTTGGGGTGAAAATATGCAATATCGCCCCCTCTCATGAATGTGATATTTATATAATGTTATCTGTGACAATGGGTGATGTTATTCATGACAACCGGCAGTGTTAAGTAATGAAATATTACAATACATTCCAAGCTAACGGTTGCACTCAGTGTCAAGTGTTTTCCTTTGATGTTTTACATGGTTGAAATTCTACGCATAACCCAGATCAGCTGAGGAGTCAGCTGCAAGCACTGTCAGATCTCATGTACCATGTACTTGCCCAACTTTCTGTCCAGTTGAAAAACTTGTTTTTATGGTTTGTTGAAAATTGTTAAATTGCTCAATTATTTATAAAACATCATTTTGTAATTATGTAGTACATAAAGTTTGGTAATATTGACCTTATTCATTTACTGTACACATACTTATTTTAGTAGTAAGAATGTGTTTGCAATTTTTGTGAGGACTCTATAGCACTAAACTATGTCAACTTTTAAATATATAAAGTATTCCTGCTTGTTTTAAATATCTACAGTACTACCTAACCATGCTGCATATACAGTTGGGCTGTCACAATAAACGGGCATATATTGTATCATATGGCAGTATAGAAATGAAGCATCGCTGTATTGCAATATTTATGAGAATTTTAATTTTTATGTATCCAACAGGTGTTTTAACTTTGTGGATTCCTGTACAATCTAACAGATATGCCAATAGACATACACAGGCTTTTACTAGTGGTGGGAAACCATTGAGATTTCATAATTGATGATAAAACATTTTCAATTTCTGCGATCATATGATATATGGTCCAGTTTTATATCATACTGACCACAATATCTTTCTAAATTGAGCCCCTTTTTCCTATGACAATATATTGGGGTATGTATCTCAATACATTTCCTTCTGTAATATATCATGACATACTCCAGGCATATTGTGACACTCCTAATGTACAATGTTACATGTGAGGCAGTCTGAAGATGTTTAAGTTTTGAGGGTTATAATAACGACATGTGATTGTTGGTGTTGGCTTCAATGCTTCAAGTACTGGTCTACTTAAAGTACCTGGGGTACGGCTCTTATTGAAAATAAAGATTTTTAATCTTTCAAATAATGTTATTCCATTTTGAACATATTTCCTGCTTATATTGACACAGACATTGTTAATGTGTTGACCAAAATGGCCAACTAACCTGTATCATTGCAGTATGACATGATGCTAATACTTTGTCACCATTATAGTAAAATATTTATATCAATGTCCAGCTAATCAAAACAGTAAAGAAAGCCTTTATGGCCACAATGGTCATCTTCTACTTAATCAGTTCTCATAATCCAGTCCCCAGTATATATATATATATATCTGAAAATAATATAATGTTGAATTACGCATTTTATTTTATATAGAGAGAACAATCATCATTCAAACATTTAGGTGATTACAAATTTAAGTCCTATTATGTTGACCATGCATGGCCTCTGGTCCTATTGGCTGTCACAGTGACATTTCCAATTTCTCCTCTCTTATTGGCCGTATCACTTCAATTACTTTTCTCTATCCTGTATGATTTCAATCTCTTGTTGAGAATGACATTGAGATTCTATAGCAATAGTATACATGATACCGGTGTATTCCTATCTGATCAGTCAAAAATCAGTCCACATATATAGAAGGACTAGGATTACCAGTGGATGTTTTCATTTTTTTCAAGTTAAATCCTTCAGATTATGACAAGATTTTGGTGCAATATGGATATCCCTTTTGTGGATCTGGATTAGAATGGACCTCTAGTCTACCTTATTAGGTTAACTTGAATCCAATGGGCAAAACTCAGGCCAAACTGTACGTTTCCAATTATGATCGATTACTGCCAACAACTTCAGGATATTAAAAAATATCAGTTCCCTGAACATTGATGTATAATGGCAATATTCAGGTCAAGTTTGAACAAAAGTGGAATATTTGCTGGTGATATTTTGCATGATGGCTTAATTTTAAGATAGCAGAATCTGTGAAAATTGAATAAGGATATTTTCCATCTACGTACCTATGGGTTTTCACAACTTTGATGTGTATTTGTATTTATGTAAATCTCCACAACAAGTTTGAAGATGACTTAAATCATTGTCAAGACATTGTTATTCCTGTTAATGTAAAAGTTTTCATAAAGTTTGGTGTATATGGTTGTGTTGTTTTATTGTCTAGCTGGGCCTGATACACAGGTACACAGATTTTATTCTGACTGTAGGACTGTACAAAGGTAAATAGAATCTGTTTGGTGACGTTACATCCTCAGTTCTGACTGGTTAGTGCTTAGGTACTAATGTTATAACTTTGGAACATTCGAGCATACCACAATGGGAACATGAATTTGCTTGTTATCATAATAACCATTAGATGAGCGTTACCTAATTCTAGTCATTGATTTTGTTCATTGTTATAGATATTTATCCACATGTGCTAATGGAATCTCATTATATATATAAGCTACCAAATGTACTGTAATTTAGAGTGAAAACTATTCCATAATAACTGTGATTTTTATGAAAACATCAGTGATATCACAGTTCTCACTTACTTCTAAATCAATGTACATGTAAAACAATTGTACGTGTTCCATTGTGTTAATAGGAAAGGGAGACGACTCCTGGAATATCAGTCCATTTTAAAAAGGTTACACTGCATATGCAGTTACCTCCCTAGAAAAGTTTTCATCCAATTTCATTATTACATTCATCAGATAAGACTAAGACAATGACTTGTACTAGCTGCTGTATCATATAATCCTGTAGGAGGTTCCTGATCACAGTCAATTGTCCGTCCGTCACTGATCAGGATGCAATGAGCTTTTATCTCTCTTATTCTGTGGCTTAATCAAACTTCAGACATCAGATTTACTCCCCAACATTGTTCCTTAGCTTGAAATTCCCAGCAGGTAAAAAAGAATTAGCTGAAAATCGTATGTTTATGTAACTAAGACCTAAGTGTCCCTGTGTCTTTATTCTGCCAGATGTATATAGACATCATGACGTGATCAGTTTTCCAGATTCATTTAACTTGGTTATATCCTTTTCTTGAGTCAATCTAATGTTAGTTTTTGACATTTTTGGTATTTTTATTAATATTCAAGAGCAAACAATCTATCACAGTGAAATACTTGCCAGTAGATATAAACCTATTTACCTTGGTATGTACACCTGATCTGTTTCATTTGTAATGTAAGAAAATGCATTGTAACTTTTAAAGTGGCATCTATAAAAAGTATTTGAGTTTAGCTCTGTGGCTTCAAAAGTGTACATGCTGGACCAACCAGCTTCAGACCATAGTGTCATCTTAGGTACCTCATTCCAATCCATGCATCCACTCTCATCAACGTTTTACACTCAGCTGTGTGTTACTTGTACGTACATGTGTTGTATCTTAAAAAGTTAAAGTCTGTGACTATCTTAAAACTTACACCATAGTCATAGATACATCTAAACGATTTCTTTTCC